GGGGGCTGAGGGCAGGCGTTGCACCCACACTGCCAGAAACCAGGTGTTGTCCCAGGGATGCAGTGGAGAATGCATTGTTAGACCCTGTCATTAGATCTCAGTGTTTTGCTCACTCTCAAGAAACAACTGCTTACACAGTTATGGCATGAAATATTTTTAAAGCAATATGAGTGCATGGAGGGTTTCCTTCTGGTTTTGCTGCTGTGTGTTCCCTTGGAGACTACTGGCTGGCAACTCTCACAAAAACAAGTCTGTCTCTTAATAAAGCATACCTTCCTCTAAAGGCCCTCTTTAACATACTCAAAATAGCCAAATGTTTCTAATAACTATGTACACTAGCTAGATGAAGAAGCCAAAAGGACATATTTGATCTGTGAAGAACTGCTATATTCAGCTGCTTGAAAATATCTTCCATTCTTAAGTCACTTGCAGGCAGAGCCAGGTCTAATTCCTGAAGCAGGAGGGAATGGGGAGAGCAAAGAGTTTGCAGAAAACACCAAAATGCTAGGGATTATCTCCTGTGCATTGCTGGGTTTTTTCATCCAGAAAGAGCACTGCAAGGAGCTGAGGTTTTATAAACCAAGCACATAGTCAACAATTTATACAAAGGTACTTGTTCATATAAGGGTGCCTAGACTGACCAGTTTAAAGTTCATTTGTGTATGACCACATTTGTGAAGCTGCAGCCAGACCTGACAGCAACATTTCAACTTTTAAGCATTTCCACTGAGTTCTACACCTGTTTATATTGCAACTTCCACCGAAACCCATCAACTTACAACAGAGTGTGCATCTCTGTGTTTAAAAAAAATCAGCCTAACACTCATCTCATCTTCATCTTCTTTCCCCATCTCAAACACTTACTTCAAAATGTGCTGCCAATAACCTGCAATGATGACTTTATCCACTGGTTTGCTATTTATGGTGTTATGCCGTTTATACATTGTCCTTTTACTCAATATTGTTTTATTGAGTTCTTTGTGTCAATGAAGCATTGCATTATAATAAAGAATGAAGCTGGCTTTGTTCACAGTGAGTTAACATCACATCTTAATGACTTAGAATAGCATGAGGTACTCGAAGGCAAGTACGTACTTAGACAGTTCACTCATGGAATTCATGTTGAGCTTCGAAAGACACTGGGAGTTTAAAAAGGAGAAAACCTGGTTTTCTTAGAGGGAAGATGAAAGATGTTAAAGTATATGAAAGGAAATAAAGAGAAGATTCCAAAAAAAAACCCATTCCATGTGTAGAGTCAATGTTTGGAAACACTCGATGTTCTAAACCAGCTCTTTGAAAATCATTTCCTCTCCTAATTCCCTGCCAGAACCTGAACTTGGACCTTTATATTTCTCTTTGAAGGCCTGCTAGCAAATCTTGTAGGAATGGGTCCTCTCCTGAGATTTTCTTTCATATTTCTTTCTGGTCTGTAAATATTAAAGAAAATAACTTCTGAGGCTGTATTAAATAATTCTGGTCCTAACCAGAGCCAGTGTTGCAAGGCAAAAGTATGCGAGCTATAGCATAAATAGAAATATCAGTCTGTTCAAAACCTTGGTAGATGTTCATCTTAGCGTATAAGCTGATCTGTTCTGTGTGGAGGAATGGTATCTGTGAGACAGAATGAATATTTGGAGGAACAAGTGTGGGGAACTGAATAAGAAATAATAATTAGTTCAAGGTTTAAAAATACCAAGCTGGCACAGGCAGAATGCAAAGTCCACCAGCCTCATACCAGAACATGCAAACGGAAAAAAAAAAAAAAAGTTTCAATCATACTTCTGCAAAGTTTATATTATAGTAATAGCTAGTACACCAGTTAGGGAACATGGCTGCATTATGCTTGCACTCCACAAAAAGAAAAGCCTCACAAAGGTCACTTTCCTGAAGACCTAACAATCTACTCAGACCTACCGAATTTCTACTGCTGGGCAATATTGGACAACTCCCAGTATGCTTGAGACCACTGAGACAAGTGGCCATTATGGTAATGTTTCCTGAGTCCATACAGATATGGAAAAGCATTCTAGCTTCATAAGTAGTCATTTAGGAAATATCCATTTTATTCTATGGCCATTTTAGAGGTGAAATATGAATAAAGGAAAATCTCCTGAAACTACTCCTGCAACAATGTAGAATTACGGAACAGCAACATAAGCATTAAAAGAATAAAAGAAAAATATGTGCAATAACATCTATAGAAGTATCAAAGAGTCAGAGTTCCTTCCATCCTTTCCACATAACATGAAAAGCTGGAATTGGCAGGTTCTTAGTAAAACAGAAAATTGTTGCAGGTTTATTGACAATTTCATTAGGTATGATAAGGTATATTTGTGAACATATTTGTTATCAAAATTCCTGATCCTGCTCTGCCACTCCACAGAGGCTGGTATTCTCCTTAAAAATCCAGCAGTCTGTGATAGTAAAAAGAGCCTTGTTATAATTGTGGTGGTGAAGGAGATGAAAAGCACGAGGCTTGAGAATAAAAGGAGTTGCCTCTCTGGTGCTACCCTAGGGAAAAGCTGGAGTCACAACAGAAGGAATGAGGAGTGGGAAAGAAATAGATGCTTATTGTCAAAGTGTTGCATGATTGGGGGAAAAACAGTGCATGACCATTGTTTCACTGCCATCTTTACCCAGCACTGCTTCCAAACATGTGGGAATTGAGTTTCCATTCTTCTATTGTCTCAGTTGTGCAGTGTAACACATGATTTCTGGCACAAGGTCAGTAATGCTTTATCTTCTTTCTCACCCAAAACTAGTGAAGGCTTTGTGGGCACTGCAAAAGATGGTATCAAACCTAGGCTTGAGGAGCTGCTTTATTATTAGAGAACAAATATATTGTGTTATATTGTTTTGATTGTAACTCACATGGGTGAAATGATGCCTATTTCTTGAAAGATTCCTTTTGGCTAAAGAGGAGTAGCATGACTCACCTAGCCTGAATTTAGGTAACTCTGGGATAACTGGAGAGGCATGGGAAAGTGCCAAATGTGGGAATAAGGTAGCAGTGGCTTTCAACCAAAAGAAAGGAGGCTGAAGCTAAGAAAAAAGAAGTTTTTAAAATGTCTGTTCCTCTTATTGCAAAAGGAACCAAGTATTTTCAAGATACGGATTACACCAGAATGTAGTGTTAGAAAGTTAGAACATAAATTGTTCAGTGATAAGAAAAAAACAAGATACTCATACTACTTGGGGAAAAAGTTACAAAGTCTTGTTGATTGAGAAAACCATAAATGCAGTTGATTTGTTGGCTAATTCAGTCTATCTTAGCGCTCTACCACTGGGACAACACAGGTTTAGACATGGTCTCCAGGTGTTTGTATGGCGTAGAGAAAATGCTAATTCAAGCACTCTGCATTTTCTTCGAGCTAGGAGTATGTAGGTGTTCACAGACTGTGGAACTGCTATGTGTGCAGCTAAGCAGGCTAGTTTCCTCTCAGGTTTTTTTGTTCCTCATTTCTTGAACAAAACTGGACGTCCATGCACTTAGTCTCTACCTATCATTACATTTAGCAAAGCTTTCTTTTCTTTTCTCCATCCTTATCCTACAGAGTAGATAAATTTTGCCGTTGAGCAGCTTTGTATAAATTATGCTAGACAACTATAAGTAAGTGCTTTATTTAGGTTCCTAAGTTCTTAATTAAATGATAAATATTCTAATTTGTTTATTTTCAATTGTCTTTGTTTTTTCAGTTGTCTCCACTTTGAAAACTTCACTCTGACCTTGACTGATTTAGTTATGAGTTGCCCGATAACTCCAGTGATCCCCAGAGTTAGCCAGAAATGTTTCATAATTAATGTGTGAACATGGTAATGCAAGAGACTTGCATCTCAGAAGAACGAGTGAAATTCTTTTCTCCAAAAGCTATGATCCTTTCCTTGGATCCAGTGATACTTTTGGCCTGATTGAGAGCAACGTCCTAGTCCAAACCTTAGCAGGGAATCCAGATTGCTCCCAAACTCCCTCAGATAGGTGTTTAAAGTCAGCTTTGTTCTGTTTAACTAACAAGTAGGGAGTACCAGACTAGCTTCATTCAGTATTAGGAAGCACTTCCCTCATCAGAAAAGCACAGAACCTGTCTGGATTACAAGTGCAGAGCAGGACTACTGACAGATGAATATACTGTTTTATCCAAAGAGAAGATATGGCTGTTTGTTGCTGTGACATATTTGTTTCACGGAATTACTTATTCAGAACTCAGGAGAATGAAGAGAGCTGTAGATCCCGAAGCATTTATGAATATTGTAAGTTGCTCGATAGAGTGACCTAGAGATGGAAGGAATGCATGTCTCAGAGCTGAGAGGTTTCTAGGTGTTGGAAATAAGAAGGTAGATAAACTTCTTTCTGCATGTGTAACAGCACATCTTATGTTTGATAGAAATTAAGGCAAACACCTTTGCTTAGTAAATCTCCGGAGTTAATTTCCTTTTAAATATCAGTTACCAATTTGCTATTGCTGGTGCTATCCCACTATCTGAAAGAACGACCATCTGGAATGTCAGCATTTCGTCATCAAAGATGACTCTAAATAACTAGTGGCTTATGTTTTCTCCTTTTTTGAATGACCAGCATACATCAGAAATGGCCAGCATTTCAGAAGAGCACCTCTTGCCAAGCAAGCTTGTTTAGATCTTTAGTCACTTGTTAAAATCTCGGGGTTTCTGTCCCGCATGACAAATTACGCTGAGCAGTTCTCTGAGTACAATTTATAAAACACAATCCTCTTTTATAACAAAACAGGTTGAATGTTACAAGTCAAAAGTAATATTTATTTCAGAGCTTAAGGTTGGCTGTGCTAGTCATTTTCCTTGTGACTATGCAAGTGGCTGATCCTGTTTTTCCCATAATGTAGTCAATTTTTCAGTGGTACTCATTGAATATGTGCCATTCACAAAAACGCAGTTGTGAAGCTCTCTGGATTTCTCTGAAGGTAGTTTAAATAAACTGGTTTCACTTTGCATTGCAGCAGATCAGGAGCATACCCAGGTAGCTCCTGATCTCAGCGTATGGGAATCATAAGCTCCTGCTGTGAGGTTATAGTGATTCTTATATCACCAGAATGCAAGGGCTTGTGATTGTATGGCAGTAGTATAACACAGGGTTTTTTGTAATAGATTTTAACTGAATAGTCAAATCCTGGATATAACACAAAGAATGAAGGAAATCTGTTGTAGTTTTTGGGGTTACAATATCCAATCTGATATTGCTTTATTCAGATGCTTAATATATGAAGACTAAATCCCCAGCTGTATCTGCTCTCTAACATTTCTTCATCATGAATATCTTATGCATAAAATATATGAAATGGACTTCTGCAAGCAAATACATTTGTACTTTCTCTTCTAGTGTGAGCTCATTACTTACAAAGGGTACCCCAGTGAGGAATATGAAGTGACGACAGAAGATGGTTATATCATTACCATTAACAGAATCCCTTATGGTACACAGAATCAGGGAAACCCAGGTACAGTTCTTTAATATGAGACAAAAACAGCCTAGATAGGGCACATTCTGGAAAGAGATACCTTATATTTGTAAAATGCCCATCAAAACTTACATGCACGAGTGAAATTTTAGTAGAGAATTCTGGCTGCCATGAACAGCCTGCAAGATCAACATGATTTATGTCAAGCACACCTATTTATAATAAAAATCCACTATAATATGAAGCATATATCCTCATAATAAGAGTTGATGAGTAAAAGATAAAAAAAAAAATAGGGTAAAGGCTGTAATCTGCCCAATCAGCCTGTTTTGAGAAAGCTGTCCAGGTTCTAATTTTGCTTTGCTTTTGCTTACACCTAGTTATTATCAGTGACTGATTCATATTTTGGATAAAGGAAACCTCTGCAAACAATCCCACACCTTCATTGTATATATCAGTGTTGAGAATCTGAAGCAAATGCGGTAGAGCTGTACAAACAATGACCAGAGGGTGCCAAGCTAGTTTTTGCTGGTTTCAGGCAGATCTTTCCATAAATCCTTACAGAAACTTAGAAGTTCTCTCTTTACAGAAAGGGATGTATTGTTCTTATGATTAGTTGTCTCCCTTTAAGTTGGTGCAGGAACAAATCCCAATATTGAATATGGGACAGTAAAGTCCCTGAACTACCAGAAAATTAAGAAATTTTATAAGCTGTTGTTTTGTTTCTGATTTTCTTTTCAGCTTTGAAACCTGCTGTATTTCTCCAACATGGATTATTGGGAGATGCTAGTAACTGGGTCACAATCCTGCCCAACAACAGCTTGGGCTTCATACTAGCTGATGCTGGCTTTGACGTTTGGATGGGAAATAGCAGAGGGAATCGCTGGTCCAGAAAACATCAAAATTATTCCATTGATCAAGATGAATTCTGGGCTTTCAGGTAGACTGAACCATTGAAGGGCATCTCCACTGCCTTCCCTTACATATTTATTTAAGCTGGCTAAATCAGGGATTTACATATACTACCTTTTAGAAAGCATTCTTTACTGAGGTGCAAAGCACCCTTTGCTGAGGTGCCCCTATACATACATGTGAAATTTAATAGTGGTGGAGACTACTTTCATCTAACTACTGCTAGAAAAGGTTCTTCAAACTAGAGATTTAGCAGCAGAGCAACTCAGAGGAACCTGCACAGGTCATGTCCAAGCCACTCCTCCCTCAGTTATGGAGGAAGTTCTGAAGGCTAGTTAGAAACACAAATCTGTATATTACAATAACACTAAAATCATGGAAGGAGAAAATGTAAATCATTTTTACACTTGTTTTAGCAAACGTTTAAAAATACACCTTTTCTTCAACACCAAGTTGTATAAAATGTGTGATTCTATGGATGGAGCTCTGTTACTATATCACCACCTGTTCCTTCTATGTAGACCATTACAATTCAACCTGATACTTCTTGAAGTTATAGTCCTTCTGTTGATGCCAAGGGAGAAAATACCCCAGAAAGCCTTGAATACTATCTTCTATATCCAGTGCCAGAAAAACACAGAACCTAAAATAGCTGAATGATTCACTAAATGGTTCATGTTGTTTCTTTGCTGACAAGCCTGTAATAAAAATGTGAATTCAAATGGATTTTTAGTTTATGCATGTCTCTCAACCTCCTGCCTGCAGTTTTGATGAGATGGCAAAGTTTGATCTTCCAGCAGCAATAAATTTCATTGTGGAGAAAACAGGACAGGAAAAGTTGTACTATATTGGTTATTCGCAAGGTACTACCATTGGTAAGTTACACACAACAGACCAATGTTTCAGGAAAACAGGAGTAAAATGTGATTTGAGATACTGAATGTCCCTGGGGTTTTCATTAACTCTTTGCAGGTGTGAAAAACAAGGATAAGCTGTTCTCAGCATGTAGGCTTTTTTAATTTATTATAAAGACAATAAAACATAATGGGCCAAATGCACTGCTGCTGTAAGTCTGTCGACTTAGAATTATACTGGAAATTATTGTGGGCCATGCAGATTTTTTCTTTCCAAGAGGCACGGGTGTGCCCAACAGCAGATGGTCAATTGACCAAAATAAACAAAATAGGAAGATGAGAGTACAGAAAGAGAAGTTGGCAAGTTTGGACAAGACATGTACACAAAAAAAAAGAAAATATGGAATTGGATTGACCGGAAGAAAAACAATGGCTCCTTCCAATAGTATATGAAATGCATGAATGTACATCAGAAGTGTGTATTTATATTTAAATAGGTTTGGAAGTAAACTGCAAAGGCAAAATAGAGAACGAAATTTCTCTCTGAAGAAGGAAATCAAACTACAAGCTGGTAACACATGGAGAAAAGGGATTTCACAAAAATCTAGGCTGAACCATAGTCTCTGAACAGCTAACAAGGTTGCTTGTGGGTTAACATTTAGCATATCTCTTCATTAAAAGTGATGTAACACAAATCGAGTGATGTCTGAGGAGGCTGATGCAATGGAAAAACACCTAATTTCTTTCTTGTTTGTGGGAACATCATCTGGCAAATGAAGAAAAAGCAAGTGAGAACCACTAAAAGTGCTAGAGAAGAGGAACAGGACACTAATGTCTTTTAAAAACAGCAGCACAATGTACAAGTGTAGATTATTAAATGAATGTCACCCCTGTATTTCGCAGGGTTTGCTTGGCAAAAAAGAATTCCTTCCCCAGACAGAATGTCTAAGAAGGCTAATAGCCCCTGTCTGCAGCCACCGAGCTTTTGCCAGGCTTTGTAGAAGTGTCTTCTTCAGTCTGGGTGGCTGTAACCTGAAAAACATTGACATGGTATGTATAACTCTTACCAGCTCTACTGAGAGTTTAAGTTTCTGTTCCCAAAACTTACCTTCTATCCTGTGGTGTGAATCCTGAATTTCTATTAGTCAGCATCACATTGCAGAGAACAGTCCCCACTACCAGACAGCAATATCTGCTGGTTGCCCCATCACTGGCAGGGGACCACTGCCTCACTCCTCAGAAGAGCACTTGGCACCATCTCTCCAATCAACAAATGTTCAAAGCCCCCCAAAACTCTGCAGTCTGCCTTCTGCCAGACCTCACCTAGGGCACTGTCTCCTGGTTCATATTGTGACTACTGATCTTGTTGGAGATCTTCAGTATGCTGGCACACCACGAAAGAAGAAATAAAACCCCTACCTGCTTCATGTTTTCAGGAGCTCTTTGCGATGGAGAAAGGAACACATTGTATTCCCCCTTGTCCTCCTCCTCCAAGCCTGGGACCATCAGGGATGTGCTCAGAGGCACAGGATACCTAGGGGGTACCTGAGAGAGAGCTGGCAGGTAACACTGGGGGTTAAGATATACTTGGGCACATCAGGCTATGTATAGCTGTAGGTCAGACCACCTGAGCATGAAAATTTTGCTCCAGTGTTTTCCAAAAAATGCCTTAAAGCGTGTTCTCTGAGGAAGGATCACACAGCAACTTGTCAAGAAACCACTGCAGGACTAGGGTGTGTTTTATTTCAAATAGTCGTGCATTCCTCAGGCAGTTGCAGTTCCTTTTGCTGCTCAGTCCAACAGCAACCCTCTCACACACAATCTGTTATGGACTCCTAAAAAAACCACCTAGTTTGGAGTCTAAATTGCTGACTTTCTATTCTATCCTTTTCACTTGTGGACTTTTTTAGATTCTCAGTCATCCTGGAAAATTGTTCTGGCTGGGGGTTGTTCTTTCGGTGCTACTCCAATCACCACATCTGGAGTAACTGAGGGAGTCTCCAATCACACCACTCCAATTTCTGTTGGTTTTATTGATACATGACACTGCTGTGGCAGATGTTTTGATGTACATCTGAACAGAAGGGAGGAAGAGAATACTCACTGAACATTTTCTTTCAGAACCTAATCAATGTGTATATTGCACAAACCCCCGCTGGAACTTCTACGCAGAACATAATCCACTGGAGTCAGGTACTAGCAAACACCTGGAAGACAAAATAGGTACTCATCTCTGGCTGAATGGTATAGAGTGAGTATAGCTGATCTCCTGCTGTGAAGCCATTGCTAACTTCTTGGAAACACATGCATCTTGTGGTTTACAATTGAAATCTCAATTCAAAACACTATTTTTCATTGATCCTTCTTTTGCAAGCAGGATAGAAATACCCTATGTGATACAGATATATTTGAAGTGTATTTGTGTAAAAACGTGTATGCTGGAAGCTGTGTATGCAGATGTATATATCACTCTTCTTATCCATCACCTTTTATAAATTATGTCCACAGTTCTGTACAGAGCTTACCTTAAGAAATTAGCTATGTTTCCAATGTGGATTCAAGAAATGAGCAAGACATAGGCTGCTTTGTAAAAGCCCTTGTATTTTCATCTCTTGCTTTCAAAATTATCAGTGTCTGGACAGCAATACAACTAAAAATAATAAACTCTTTACTTTTAGTAGATTCGTTATATCTCTTACTTACAAGGTACTGTCACAGTATATCCTCAGCAGCAGTGCTGAAGGAAGCTGCCTTTCTGTCTTTGGGCTCATGCTTTCAGAATTCATAAAGCCTGGGCTCAGTCACAGAAGCTGTTGCATGCAAGGCAGGTTTCCTGGCAGCACCGCAGGCTCTGGAGCAGAGCAGGAAACAGCTGCGAGCACAGGGAGCTTGCAAGAGGGTTAATGCACTCTTCAACACAGCAAACACATGGATATGTTTGAGTGACATTTGCACAGGCATTTATTCAAAATCCAACAATACTTTTGGCTGTGAATTTACATAAAATATTAGAATTGATTAAGTTGCTTTTGTAACCATGGCCTAGACCTGTAAAGAAAAAGGGTTACAACGGCACAGTGGGGGGAGCTCTGCAAATAATTGACTCAGGTTTAATTCAGCATCTAGCCACAGATGGGCAAGTATAAACATGCAGGAGTAATACTCCTAAGCCGTCGTTATCCTTGCTGTTATTACTATTAAAGGAGTTAATAGACACCTTACCTTCAGTACTAAGATCCCATTGATGGTGTCTCTCACAGTAGTAACAACCTACGCTGTAGGCAAAGCCAAGAGCACAAGGGAAGAACTAGAAATGGTGAATTCTGTATTCAAACCAGAGAGGGAAGAGAAAACATAAGAAGGAGCCACTCACAGAGCTGAGTCATGGCGACATGACTGTCAGAAGAGAACACGGCAGCAGCAGTGAAGGGAATTTGCTGGAGGCAGTTGTTAATAGCAATTTTACAAACTAGAACAAATTGCCTGTGAGAGCATCCCTGGGTCTTTCTGCAGAAGCCATGCTTTTTTTGGTTCTGACAAAAACATTTGACTCCTTTTCACTGATTGAGACTTTTAATTAATTTATTGTTGCCTTTTTCGTAGCTCTTAGAAGAACTTCTGTTGAGGCTTTAGATTGGAGTCAGAGGCTCAGCAGGGAAAGAACCCACAGACTTCCTGAATGATGGCATTGTAACTACCCTTCTCTTGTTCATCCTCTTAGGAGGCCCATTCGGGGAAATTCCAAGTTTATGACTGGGGCAGTTCAAAGAAGAACATGGAAAAATACCAACAGGTATATTTTGGTGAAACAATATTATAACCCTTAGACAGCACAGAAGCACATAGGAAGACAGCAAAGATGTAGTAGGAGACACATTTTCAGAATACAAATAGATGAAAGTTATTACTACTTTCCAGTTTGGAAGTCAACAGAGAAAGCATGCAAACAATGCCAATAATAAATTTTAAAAGAAAAAGAGAGACACAGAGAGAGGGAGAGGAAGACCAAAAGTTTTCAATTAAATGATCAATAGGAATAAGAGAAGGTAAGGGCAAGAAAGATAGTAAACGAACTTGGAAAAAGAAGAGTTTATCTAGTGGATAAGACCAAAGAGGCATCTTGCTTACTAGCATGGCTGAAACAACTGCCAATGTATGAGAGCTCAAAGAAACAATATTAGGAAGAGGGCAACTGGAGAGCTAATAGCTACCCCTAGATTCTGGCAGCCAAAGCAAAAAGGACTTTGTCCTCAAGCAGTCCCTGAGGAACCTCTCCTCCATTCAAGACTCTAATCCCATCCTTGACCTTCCTACCCTTTAGGTCTCCACAACAGCCTATCATTACGAGTTACATATTTTAATGATGGCTTGCATGAAACACAACTTCCTTTGGTTTGTCTTGAATTTGCTTGCCCCTGGAAAGTCACTGGGTGCCTTCTAAGTTTTGTGTTATGAGAAGTAATGGGATAATTGCTTCCCGTGCTCTTTCTTCATATGATTTGTGATTGTATAAGCCTGTCTCCTGTCCCTGCTCTGGCCTTTATTTTCCAAACTTGGGAGTCCTAAGCTATTTCCTCTATTCTCCTACAGAAGCCACTCCATGCTCCTTTTCATCCTTGTCACATGTTGTGTTTTCTAACTAGACCATGTATGTCTTCTGGGGCTGACCAGTACTCCAAAAGGACCGAGATGGGGGTTTACCCAGAGGCATCCTGACATTTTCCATCTTTTTCCAGGTTCTTGCCCTATGAATTCCTAGCTGAGAGGGCAAAGACCCAACCGTAACTCTGTCAACTCAGGAGGCATTTTTCCTTTGGCTGTGCTATCAGCTGGGTCATCCCTGCAAGCACAGACAGAAAAGGGAAGCAAAGGCATTTCCTTCCTGTTTGGTTTAGGTACCTCTACTTTGAACAGTGACAAAAGAAAGGCCCAAATGCATGTTTAAAGTTTGCTGTGCTTTCCTGTACTGCTTCATGTTTTCCAGGCTATTCCTCCTCTCTACAATGTAGAAGAGATGACTGTACCAACTGCAGTATGGACTGGGGGACAAGACTTGCTCACAGATCCCAAGGATGCAGCCATTTTACTGTCTCAAATTAAGAGGCTCATCTATCACAAGAGGATTCCTGAATGGGCACACCTGGATTTCATCTGGGGATTGGATGCACCTTTGCACATGTACAATGAAATTATTGATCTGATGCAAAAGTATCCTTAACCCACAACCAGTAGCCATACCTGACTCATTCAATGACACTTGCTTGCACTGGATACAAACAAAACCTTCTTTAGCATCAGATCGTTTCTGCTAAAGTCAGAGAAAGGGTTCCTCCTGACACTCTTTTCGCACCACGTTTCACTGCAATGCCTTTTGCATCCTGATGGTGCACTTTTTTGGCATTTTCTGGAAACCTTGTGGCTCAGTAATCACTTTTTAATTGATACAGCCTAGATTCTGCAATAACTGTACTTTGCTAACAGAAGACCAGGTTTTCTTGCAGCCTGCTCTCTTCTTTAGACCCTAAAAGTAATGAAAGCACTGACTTTCTCTGGATACAGTCGGTAATCTCAAGACATTTTCCATTCTTCATATTATTTCTCAGTTTATTGGGCTTATTGAAAGGCATAGTGTAAGCCAAGACTAATTCTAGCAGTTATAGTATCGATTAATTTTATTATTAGATGAGACAATGACCAGAAAGTAAAAACTGAGTTCACACAAAAAACTCATTCCTGAAAAGAAGATGGTTTGTCTTCATTTGAAACAGGGCTGCTCACTTTTTTCATGAAGAAGAGCAAGGGACACAAGGAGGGTAGACCCAGCAGAAAACAGTAGCCAGTCTCATGGTTCAAGCATGTACCTGGAAGATGGGAAGCTTGGGTTCAAGACCCCCCCCAAGATAGAGATATCTCGGCAGACTCAATCTCTGCTGACAACACTTTCAGGATCTGTGTACATGAATTCTCCAGAGTGGGAGAAAGGAGCTGATTTCATTTTGGCAATGACAGCACTTCAATGTGACACTTTGGTTCAAAGTTACACTCTGAACCCAGCAGTTACACTAACCAGTTCACTGATGACACTATATGACCAAAGCGTCAGTGTCTCACTCTGCGAAATGGTTCATTAGCCAAACAAATTAACCATGAATGGTGCCACTTCTGTCCCTTTCCCTTCCAAGACAAACGACAGGCCTGTTTTGTCTCCTGTGCCCACTGCTGAAGCCTGTCCTGTTTCCTTGTGCTCCTTGAATGTAAGTAGAGCTTGATCCAAACAAAACAGCTCCCCTCCAGACAAGGACATTCCTTACACCCAATACAAATTCCTGGGGAAAAACACCCTCCAGAGAGTCAGCCCTTCAACTGACTCACTGCTTGTAGGGGAAATGCATGAGGACTTGAGACCTACATTATGAGTTTTCAATACTTACAATGAGAAATGCAATAGCAATATACCTGAAAGAAGCCAGAGCATCCCCTAGACTCACCTAGGAAAGAAATTGCAGCTGTGCAGCTATCTTGCAACCTAGGAGACCACAGAGGAGGCAAAGTGTTGAATTTTCTGGAAAATCAGTAAAAACAGGTTGGGCAAGCATCACTGGAAACATCATGGGGACTCTTGAGCCCACCTTGGGACATGTGGAGGGACTAGACATCATGTTGTGGAAGCCCTTCTGGGTGATTAATTTATGGTTTGATGAATTTTTTGTCACTTAGAGACATCAGAGCAGCCGAGTTATAATGCTTTTCACTGAGAAATTACCAAATTACTTTTTTCACCATCCCAAACAGTGTTCTTTACTTTGTATGTAAAGTAGAACTGTTACTGTGGCTTCACTGACATCCTGTTCTTATTTCACTCCTTTCCTTCCCCCACCACCCAAAGGCATCATATCATTTGCAATGGTGTTGCCAAGAACACATCCCTTTCATCTGGTGTTCTTCTAAATGTTTTTCAGTCCATGATGAAATACAAGTTCTTCTGAAGACACTTATGAGTTAAATGGCTGAAAAGGCAGGTCCTAACATAGGAGGATTCTACTTTGTTTGTAGCCCAGCTGCCTAAGGACACAGAAGGTGTCCTTCTGCCCATGGTCATCAAGCAAATTTCAGCGAGGACTGAGCCCCCAGGCTGACTACAACTAATTCAGCATTTAGGCAAAGATCCCCAAAGATACTGCATTTTTAGAGTTGATGAAAATGGCTTGGGAGAAACAAGAGCCTTTGTTTGTTCCCTCACTGGGAGAAAGCTTATATGATGTCTTTGGCGTCAGAAAGTCCCTACAGAAGCCATGTCAACTCTGAGTGAGTAATGTAGAATAAGATGAGTTTCAAGAGTTGTGCTGCTCACTGAAAAACAGACTTAGGAGTCTGTGTGTAACGTTAAAGTTAACATAAACCAAATGAAAAGCAATAACAGAGACAGTGTTCTTGAGAGAGTATGTTGAGAGAAGCTGCACATTTCATCCTCTTCATCCTAAAAGATTACGTTCGGAGCAGCCCCTCAGTTGGGCAACACTACAGGTCAAGGTCTGCCACAGCCTCAGGGAACTGGAACACCCAGGTCCCAGCTAAACATCCTAACCACTGATTGTAGGTACTTCTTAAACTCTCCTGCTCCATGGTGCATTTTGGTTTTGTGAATTTAGCCTGGAGATCTTTTTCATCACAAAGATTTCCCCACTTCTGAAGCACTGCCAAATCAGCACTTAAACACGCTCCACATACATGCTGCCAACTCATGACACTCACGGCTGCTACCCTGAAGCTCTCGTTGTGTTTCAGCTTCCTTTTATCGGGGCAGGTTTCTGCCAGTGAATCAGTCTGCTAGTGGAGACAGACCAGGAACTGCGGCAGAAGACAGAAGCAAGGCAGTCAAAGCAGAGGTAAGTTGCTTGTACATATGTGTTCATGGTCTCTTTCTCTGTTGCCTGTCTCCATAAAAATGTGCAGTCTTGCTTTTGTGCAGTTGCTTGTAAGAATAGACAGCTTTTTGCCTCTCTGATCTGTAAGCCTATTGCTGTGCACAGAAGTGCTTGTTTGCTCAAGTTAGAAGACAAAGAAGTTTGACCTGCACAAAAGGAAGAAAAAGAACAACTACTTCATTTTCCTCCACTTGTTTTCTTCAGTCTGAGAACAAGGGAATAAAAGTCCCAGTATTGCAACAGTGTGCGTAAATCGGACCGCCTGCTCTTGCAGCGTAATGCATATGTGTGTTTTGTTAGTGAGTAAGGCAGCAGGTTCTCGTATGCATTTAGTCACAGTTGCTTCTCTGGTTGGTGTGTGTATGCCTTACAGCTTATATGAAATAAATTTTAGACTGCTTAAAACACAAGGATAGATGGATGAATTTCGGAAAGGCTTGTATCTTAGTTTCACTAAATCTTAAAAGTACCTAAAGAACTTTCAAGGGCGTTTCTCTCTCTGACCTTTTTTCCTTCTAAGTATGTTCTTTTATGACAGTTTACCATGCCCAATATTTCCTTATGACTTCATCTCACTAGATAAAAATGGCTCTTCATGTCTCCTAACTGTCTTTATTCCTGAAGCTTAAGGGAGCAGTGGCCTGCTAAGATTGATATTACTTATCCTGCTGTGTCTGATTTAAAAGGCAAATACCTAGAAGTCCATGAGCCATGCAGCTAAGCCAGATGATCATAGAGTGCATTGAGAAATGTTTGTCCTAACAAGAGGAATAATTTAGCCTCTGCATTGCCTCAACTAGTCTTGGTAATGATTTGAAAACAAGCTGAGACATTAGCAGAACTTTTTCTTCCCAAATAAGATTCCCTGTGCAGGAAGAGGGAGGCATGTTTTACTCCCATTAGAACAGAGCAGAACAGCAGAAAGCAAAAAAGAGTGTTGTGCTGCCTGAGTATGTAGTTGTGAGGCTTCCTGTTTTGACAACAAAAATTAAGAAGCATTTGATATGCAGAGGGAATTGACTAGAGTGTGTTTTGATGCCAAGTTTAAAGTTTTGGGTGTTTCTAAATGCCGCTTCATTTCAACTATCTTATGACTCATGAGGTTTGACTTCTTTAAATTTGTTCAGTCAGATTTAAAGGTTAAGTTGAAGATCAGAAAAAGTTGAAACTCTTTCTCCTATAAGGAGATTTAGAGAGTGCAAAAATCTCTTCGTTACCCCTCCCTCACTCCTACAAATCCTGCTCATTTTCCCCATTACTTGCCAGAGAATACTCTCTTATTTTCTCTTGATCTGTAGCTCCATTTCCAAGTCCAAATAAACTTCATAGAGCAGCATGTCTCATCATAGCAGATGTCTTATGCTAGAAGCAGACTCCAGAAACATGTGGCTGCATGAGAACCTCTGTTCTTCATTAAAAATTGGATTCTCTATGTCTAGCGGACCTAGCAAAGCCTGGTTTCAGAAAGACTTGTTTTCTGATTCTGCTTAACTTCCTAATGCAAACTATAATACAGGAAGGTCTCCTACGAAATTCTCTCACAAACCCTGATGCCCAGCCATGTATGTTGTGGCTGCTTTGAAGCTACATGGACACTGACTAGTTGGCTGGCTCACTCTTGCTGACTGCTCAGCTGGTTGCAGAACATACAACAGCTGCCTTCAGCCTGCCTTCCCCCCAGCGAGGCACTAACCCTGCTGAATAGTCCTCCCATAGCAAACAGTCCTCAGGAGCTCTGCGAACCCCATTACCTTACAGGTTGTATCTCAGTGCTGAACTTGGCAGATGTTTACCAATGACATCAAAAGTTAATTACAGGATGAACAGAAAGGTAAACTAACATAAACACACTGCAATCATAGAAGCATGCTCTCTTCCTCTGTGGAAACCAAGCCTACAAGAGCAGGAATATCCCCAGAATGTCCCCAGTCATTACTGGTGAGGCAATCTTACAAGACGCCTTGATGAGCTGAAGACTTACATTGCATTACATGTCCCTTTTGTCCCATGGATTCTATTGTTGAACGTTTAGGTAGCCTGCCTGATCTTTATGGTCTTTATCCACATGCAGAATGGCATCTACTTTTCTCTTCACAGCCCTCATTCTCTCTTCACACATGCAGGCATAGCATACAACAACAATTAGATGTAATAAGGGCTTTTCCAGAATGTGTAAGCACAGTCCTGAGCTTCATGGATGAATCCTTTTTGTACAGTTCTTCAGATTGGAAAGAAAAATCCTACCCTACCTACTTGCAGCTCTCTTGTAGGCAAGGAGCACTGAGCGTGTCAGTGTTTCTCTTACTCTCCAAACAGTTTTAACTCATAGTCCCACACCCAGTAACTTTCTGGGACACAGAACCTTCTCTTTCCTTTTCTAGGGACAGTTTGAGTCAAAATTTGCTTGTTGAAAAAAAAGTCTGGAAAGCTCACAGTGTTCCTGCACTCATTGACTGGGTTCTGGAAAATAAAGACTAAAACCTGGAAGCATATCTACTGTAGATGGAGTTGGCATAAACTGGTGCTAGATAGACTGCACTCTGCAATTTCTACCAGAAAAGCTAATCTGGTACCATCAGTCAACTCAAAGGTCTCAGGGCAAGGTCTCACCTCCCCATGACCAAGACAAGATTTGCAATATGGACAACCATTTCTAAGAGATAGAGGAGACAGGCCCTTGGCAACATGAAGGCAGTCTCAGGATTCATTGTTCACAGCTCTAAAACCAAATCATTCCATGGTTTCTCAGCCAGTGGCAGCCATCGATTTTAAGAGACAGAAACTTTGGGCTCAGAAGTAGCAGTAGGAAAAATGCAGTTATCTGGGGATAGCAGAGCAGATTCTTGGAAGAAGTGGGCAGCAAGGGACTGGCGAAGAAGCCCAAAGGGTTGGTAAATGGAGACTTAGATGACTCAGCTTCAGTCTGAAAGGCAAAGTTGACTGGGAACTGACTCATGGAGCTTCTGGGGAGCCACATACGGTCACCTTGTTTGCTTCATATTCTCAGAGGAACTAATTTCAAACAGAACTTGAACCTGGTCTGGGGCACATCACCCCATGGTGAAAGCACAAGCTGGCACTAATCTGGTGCAAGCATGTTTCCTTAAGCCTGTTACACCTTCTCCCAGAGTTCCTGAATCACTCCTGGCCCCTGCACAACCTTTCACGAGCCTTATTGGCTGATCCCTCACCCCAGCACACCACTGACCAGCACCAAGAATGGCATTTGATCCCAAAGGAGGAGAGGGCAGGTGGAAAGAGAGCGTATCCAAACCTCTCTCGCCTCATTCCTGAGGAGACAGGAAACAAACAGTGCTTTCTTCTCCTTTCACCTCTCCTGCCGGCAGAGAAGTGGAGGCACATAAAGGCAGACAAGCTGGGTGATGGTCATCTCAGGTACTCATGCTTCTTTGTCAAGTTTCTAGTAGACTCGTGCCAAGAGCTGACCCTGCCTACCAGCCACAGCTCCCTTGTCATCTGCAGAGTGCTCAGGTGTATTCTCGCATGGTATCCCCAAGTGTTTTCCTCACCTGTTCTGCAACACTCCCTGTTACACAGCGTGAGCTTTGGGAAGTCCATCTTCACACAGGTACTTATTCTGGCAGCCCCTTGGCTGCCTTCAGACCTTGGGCAACCTTCAGGAGACTCCCCATCTTCATGTGGAATTCCATGCCACTCTCTTCCTAATGCAAACACCCCTGCATGTGCTCTGTCACACAGCCCAAAGATGTGGTGCCTCCTCGGGCTGCTCTGCTCCCAGGGAATTGCCTTTGCAGCAGGTTGCACAACCCCCTCCACTCTGAATTCAAACAAAAGCCAGTACAGGAAGACTCGCAACCCTGAATGCTTTATGAACGTTGTAAGTTGGGTCACTTTCTCTCCCTTTCTTTCTAAAGTGTCTCCCCCAGTACCACTACCATCACCCCATCACTAACAGCCACTGTCAGGAGGCTAAAAGTAGGACCCCTTCAAAGGGGTCCCTCCAGCATTGTGATCAGGAGCACCTGCCTAGAAGACACCTTGATGCTCCTATCCAAGCAGTCCGAGCTGCCAGAGAGAAGAATTCCTTTGCAGTGGAGGCAAAGGCTGGTTTCTAGTCTCAGGGGAAGCAAAGTCCTCCTCTTCTGTAACAACCTGTTTGCTCAGTACAGTGGCAAGGGAGGATGAATCCCTTCTGCAAACTGCAGATTCTCACAACACAAAGTAATCTAAGACCCCGTGCTCTGAATCACCAAAGATTGCCTCACAATAGTGGCAAGAGTGTAATAGGTGCTGCTGTGAGTCTGTAATAGGAGATCCACCCTACCCGGATTGCCCAACCACACTTTGGCAAGAAAACATTCATTATGGCCCAAAACCCACAGTTTTCAGCACTTATACAGATACTGCTGCATATTTACTCTCTAGAAAGGTATGATGTGCATCAGCCTTGCACGGCATGGCAAACATTCTCCCAAAAGGTTGGTCACGCAATACAGTTCTGCTTTGTCCCATAATATGGGGTCAAATACCAGACCACTACCACCTAAGCGGGTCGGAAGAAGACTTGGATGCATCTTTTTGCAAGACCTGTAACATTTATTCTCAGCCATGGCCCCTGTGGCCAGGGGCCTTGCACTGTCATCACACAACAGCCCACATCCACACTGCTCAGCTCAGTTACCCTGATACATTTTGTGCATTTTCAGAATTCCTGCTGGGAGGAACAACCAAAACACAGGTGTGACACAGTTATAAGGAATGTCTGAGAGCCAACTTTTACATGGGACCCCCATCCTTCACCTTTGCACATGCAATGGCATGGTCCACACCTTTCCATCTCAGCAAGAGCACCTAGTCAGGAATGTGGCCTGAATTTTGAATCCATCTGAAGTCCACACATTCAGTGTCTCTGTCCTTATTTCAGACTTTTCTAATAATTTTGTCATATCCCAGTTTTATTCCCTCATGTGGGCTTGGGGAGGGTTTGGTAGACTGTATTTGGGGAGGTTCTGCATTAATACCCTAAGTAATATACATTTAAAATAGAAGCCTGACAACAAAGCCTCTCACGTTAGGCATATGAATATTAATTCTCAGCCTTCTGAAGGACAGGGATATTCTTAAGAAACGTGATAAGAAATCAGGTCATTGATGAAAAGCAAATGCATTTCATCTGTTTCATCGCATTTTCTGAATGGAATAAAAATTTCTACCTGGAATTCGAGGTACCCTGGATAGTGCTACTTTGTTTATTACTCTTCGTTAGAATTATAGAATAATTTATTTTGGATGCCTCCTCCTGTTTGGATCTCCTCCTTTGGAGATCATCTGGACCAGCCTCACTCTCAAAGTAACATTAACCAAAGTTAGATAAGGGGCCTCTCAGCCCTGCTCAGTTGGTTACTGAATAGACTTAAGGCTAGATATGTTTCTTTGGATTAATTATTCTTTGTCTTCCATATACTGTTATGTCTTCAGCGGTTTTCAGCTGTGGGTAGATGGTTTCTATATAGGGACCTGTAGGTTGGCTTTCCGGTGCAAGATGAGGTGGGGACAGGCCTCCTCATTAAATTATTTATTTGCCAGTGCTGTAAAAAGAAATGGTTATGAAATTCCATTAAATGGTTCCTGCTTGCATGGAACAAATCCTTCAGGTTTTTTAGACCAATATCCATGCATAGTTCTCCTGGGACCTTCTTGAAGAAGGAAAGATTTAAATCCTCTCACAAACTAAACTCTGCACCCCAATCTTAAATACACATTAACTACTGCTCCAATATAAGAATACTTTCATCTTTTCCAGGGCAAAAGCCTGCAGTCTTCCTACAGCATGCTTTTCTAGGAGATGCTACCCACTGGATTTCTAACCTGCCCAACAACAGCTTGGGCTTCCTCCTCGCGGATGCTGGCTATGACGTCTGGATGGGAAACAGCCGAGGAAACACTTGGTCTTTAAAACACAAGACCCTTAATCCCAGCCAGAAAGCATTCTGGCAGTTCAGGTACTCTGTAGAGGGAGAATTACTCAAGACAGAAACTCCGAGGGGCCTAGATAGCTTCAGCCTGATGGTTTTTACCTAAACCAGCATCAGAACAGGAGAGTAAAGAAGCAGATAAAGAAGGATGCTCGCTCCTACTCAGAGTTGGGAACATTGGCTGGGGAAGAGATTTCAGACACTGGGAAATGAAACGGGATGCTGAGGAAAAGGGAGACAGTACTGTGAGGGGGCGAGCAAGAACATCAGCTGCAACAGGCTGACCAGCCTTGTCTAGAAATCTCTGATCCCTCACAGATAAATTCAACCAAAAGAGAAACATTTTGTAACCCATGCTAGTGAAAGCACTGCTTAAATTCAGTTCCCCAAGGGCTGCAGCTGGCAGGTGAAACTGGCACCTTCTCTGCAGAGAGTCCCAAGCATCAGGCAGCCTGGCAGTACACCTGTGTCCCTCTACCCCCTTCCCCAGCTCAAGCAAGAATGCAGACAAAGCGTGCAACCTCGTCTTTCAGTGGGTCCTGCTTGGTGCAATGAACAAAACTGACATTCAGTAACTCACACTATGGTAGCCGAATTGCCTGCTAGCTTTTTGTGTTTCTCCCCTGTAGCTTTGATGAAATGGGTAAATACGATATTCCAGCAGAGTTGTACTTCATCATGAATAAAACTGGACAGAAGGATGTATACTATGTTGGTCACTCTGAAGGCACAACAACAGGTAATGTTAGGATACTCACAGTTCACAACCTTCATGTTCCTATCTGATCAGTAGGTGGGTCTCCCCATTGATTCGGTTGTGCTTCTTGTTTGTGGAGAGCTAGCAAATGTAGAAGTGCCTTCTGAGTTGAGATTTGGAAAATATGTAAAACTTTTCTAAAAGCAGCTTTGGTTACCCTTAATAAGCAAAGAAACCTTATAGCAGATCCAAATAGAGTTCAACTTTTTAAATAATTAGAGACATAAAAGTGGTTGTTTACTGGGTACTTCAGATACTGGCACTGGTTATTTTTCTTAAATTCTCAGCAACAGAATTTTCATTACGTTCATCTTTTGTATTAAGACATACAGTTATTTTCCTTGTGAACAGAAAGGAAAAACTAAAAAGATAAAACAGCACATATAATACATAATTTCAAATAACAGAAGACAAGGAAAAAAAACTTCAACAGTACTGTCATTTGACTTAATGGCAATCTTACAATTTGAAGCATAGTTCATGAGTGGCTATAACTGGTCAAATTCCTGTTTAAAAACATATTGCCAGAGACTGAAAATTAGGAAAGAAAAAACATTAATAACTTATTTTCTCTTAGTACCAGCCTTTAGCATTAACTCACTTCATGGCCTTTGAATGCAACTAACTGTCTTTTAGCATCAGCTGGAAGTTCCTCATGTTAATGATTTATGTGTAAGATCCATGCACGGGCAGTGATTAGAAATGAGCAACTGCCAATTCATTAGTGTAAATGACCCAGCAAAAAGAGAAAAAAATGTGGGAAAATCATATATTGTCACAGCTCCAGACCTTTTCTTTCTTTTCCTCTCATAACAGTATTTAAAGACCCTCGTGGCAAAACAGACTAACCATTTAGGCTTTCTTCAGCTGCTTTTGATGCAAACAATCAGTTGAAAGGACTCAAAGCTCCCAGTATTCAGCTGATTATTCCACAGTTTCATGGAAGCATAAACATACATAGACCTTTAGAGACTATCATCTGGAAAACTCATTTTTTATGAGAGTTTTTTGAACTTTAGAGGGAATTTATTTTATCATGAAAATCTCATTGATGTGTTGCCTACAAAAACTGTTCAGATAAAGGGAATGTCCATGCATGCTCTAGACCTCAGAATGAACTTTGCCTCCCAAATAAAATTAATTTCAGGACTTAGTTTCAACACTTGCCTTAGGTAAAACATGGAGCACAGACAAACACGGAAAACAGATAATGGGCTGCAAATCTAGTCTCACTTCTTGTTTGCTACCTACTGCTTATTTATTTATTTTGTCTGTGGAAGATGTCTTCACTAACTCAGGCTGTCTCTTCTGTGTTTGCAGGCTTCATAGCATTTTCTACATACCCTGAGCTGGCTAAACGGGTGAAAATCTTCTGTGCTCTGGGCCCAGTAGCCACATGCTCACATGCTACAAGCCCTCTGATTAAGATAACAAGTGTTCCTGAACCACTGCTCAGGGTATGTCATTTTTCCTTCCAAGATGCCCAATGCCTGACTTACCTTCATAGGGTTCACTTAACCTGAGACAAAGTGTTCCCAAACAGGTGACATGCTGATACTGACCTTGAGATGAATGGAGTGCTCTTGAAAAATCTGTTCCCAAACGCTGTGAGGAAAATGCTGGAGATATAGGGCTTGTAGCAGCAGGTCCCAGTGAAGTAGGAGACTCGTGATACTCTGTCTTGTCATAGGACTCTTGCTGTTAACTAATATTTTGCTGGCCTCATGCAGGAGGAACTAAACCAGAGCTGCAATAACAGCCATGACAATCTCTGGGACTTCAGAAATGAGTGAGCACTGAGGTCACTACACTAGAAATGGAAGGATGGCTTCCTCCAGGACTGATGCCAATAACATGAAGAAGGAAGGATATGTGATGCACTATGGGGAAGGTGTTTTAAGGGGTACTGGGAGGGCAAGCTGTTTCAGCAATCTTTGAATACTGAGATAGGAGGCTAGGCTATGAGAAACAGTTTCCTGCATAAAATGCTCCTGTAACAAGAAAAAAAATTGTTGTGCTTTTCCCTTCCTTCAGTTAGTACTTGGCTGCAAAGGAGCCATGCACCAAATCGGATTTCTGAAAGGACCTGTGACACAGTTATGTACAAGCCTGGACAAGTTTTGTGGCGATGTACTCTGTTACATAGCTGGAGGCAACATTAAAAATCTGAACACAGTAAGTATATGCAAGAATACCTACTCAAAACTAAGGTGATTTTGGAAGTTACATTTGTGCACGCTATCCTTATCTAGTAACTGTCACACATGTGAACATACATAAACCACAATGTAGCTCTCAGCAGACTGAGGGAATGCCAGGACATTGTGTGGTGCAAACAGTGCCAAACAGGACTAGAGCTAATGATGGATGGGACCAACAACTTGGCACATTCTAATCCCAGAAAGAAAGGACTGAATTCAGTCTGGAGCTATACTGCATATGTCAATAGACATGCCCTCTTTTGAGGCTAAGCTGACCAGATTTTGGTCATACACAGATGTTCTTTAAAAAGACCCAATGGATGGTGGAGAGAGACTTCTTGGTACTACAGTTCCCAGTTTCATTCCTTAGCACGCAAACACCAGGGTCCTCTGAACACTGGAATAATTAAAAGACAGGTAAAAGCTCCTTTTCTCTTCCCACTTTTCAGAATACTTGCGCCAGAAGTCAGTCCCATTTTTCCCATTTTCCCATTTTTGTTTTCCTTAGAACTGGGCCCAACAGCTCAACCCACAACATGTAGAGCTACAGAAAGTCCTTGCACCATGTCTTAAATCCCCTTTACTGTGGCCAAAGTATGCAGAAGCTGGCCTGTGTAATGTTTATTACTGCAATATCTGTGAAGACTGAGGCCCATTTTTCTCCATCTATAACCCCATGTAAAAGCACGGGGCGGCGGGGGTGGGGGGGTGAAACTGTGAGAATCAAAGGTTCAATGCAAAAGCAATTAAAGCCATTACGGCCCTTTTGAATTGCAGAGCTAAACCATTAAGGATCTTTCCTGACCTGGGTTAAATCACTAATGTGGTTATCAAGGCAAGATAACAAGTCTGAGGAGGAATCTGGGGAGATGGAATTGGAACATCTCCTTAACAGAACCATAAAAATGCAAACAGAAGAAAAAGTAATCTGTTTTGTAAGCTGGCTTCTTTAGCACTAGGATCACAAGTCTTCAAAAGACTTACACATGCATGGGGGTTTGGTGTGAGGTGAGGAATCTACTTGAAAGGACTGGAAGAATTTTCCCTACTGTTGCTGAACCACAGGATGCCACAGTAGTACTATCTTCATGGAACAGACTCCCTTTCACAGAGAAAGCATGCAGGTGCATACTATTAGACAGCTATTACTATGTCTGCTTCTGAGTCTTCTGTCTGATATTTGAAGAATATCATATTAAAAAAGGGGTTTTAACACAGCAGCATTGTGCTGCTCAGGTCCTTCACAGCTTTATTCTGTCACAACACTGGCTCCCTGCCTTTATAACCCTTCTGATTTCTCTCCAGAGCCGAATAGACACATACGTGGGACATTCGCCTGCTGGAACATCAGTACAGAACATTATTCATTGGCATCAGGTATAACTGCATGCTGACATAGAAACAGACTCTTACTACTGCTTTTTGTGCAAGCGACAGCCTCCAGGGAAGTCCAGCAGCGGTGGATCTGGGAAAGTGCCCGTCACATCTTCTCACGTGCTGCCGCGAGCACCTGCCACAGAGGGAGCACTGTTTCCCAGGGCTCACCAGACCATTACCTGAATTGCCCCTTTGGTATCAGGCACTGCGATTTCCCCAGGGCACATCAGGCCTCGCTGCATGTTGGGCTCTAATGGCTTCCAGCCTGCATCTTTATTTATGAAGACATTTGCCTTGAAAGCTGCAGAAGTGAATGCAAGCATGGCCTAGGCACTTGGCAGGCACCAGGAGGATAGTGGAAACTTGAGCAGCCAGGGCGTGAGCTAGACAAAGAAGTGATCCAGCTTAAAGCTTTTCTCCCAGAGGGTTAAGTGCAGCCTGGATCACCTCCCAAAGCCAGTTAATCACACAAAGGCTTCTGCAGGCGCAACAGCAAAGTGGGGAACTGCCTTATATTGCTGCAGTACATGACAAGCGACATTGCTCTACAGGGATGTTCCCATCAGCCAGTTTTTACCAAAACCCATTTAGTCACTCTCGCCACTGTCTAGATCCTGGATTCCAGTTCTGTAAAGGTGGGTTTCTACTTGTGTACTGGCAGATCTGAGCTTGTTCTGCTCATGGTCTGAATCAGACCAGGGCAAGACAGCTCTGGCCAAGAAATATCACTGCATGTGTCCGGGTGCACCTGCTGAGCCAGGATATATCTGCATGCATCCTATAGGCAGACCTCCCAATACTTGATATGGTCTAGAATATAGGTGTGCTCCTGAGGACACCCCAGCAAAAATTCCCAGCAGTCAGTCCCGCAGGATACACCTCCCCAGAGCCAGGAAATGGGGACAAACTGTTGAGAGCCAGTGTTTTACGGCATATTTTGCTAGCCTCTAACAAAGTGGCTACAAAGCAAACACAGATACAGCAGGACAAAAGAAAGTAACAAAGGCAAAACAGCAAGCAGACTTCTAGCACATTCCCAGCTACCTGAAGCCTTGAAGTCAAGGTTTTTTAAAATCATGGACACTGACTTTCTCTCACCCTGTGTTACATACAACAACTCACAAATGAAATTGTCAGGTTTCTGCAAAAAATAAAATAAAAAAAAGAAAGACCAAAAAAAAAACCAAAGAAAAAAACCCAAACAGATGTGTACTTAAATCCTACTCATCAGTCCTGCAGGGCATATATCATGTCTTTTAAACAACATAGACTCAGGAAAGCTAACGTCTTGTGTCTGATGTTCCACCTGAACACAGCTGTCAGAGCACAACTCATGTATAGCCAAACTCGTGTAAGAAGTACAGAGCCTCTGGAAATGTCACCACCACTGTGAGCAGTCCAGACAAAACAGACACACAAAAGACATGATGTGTGAGGAGGCATGATACGTTACACTAGACTAGTAATAGCCCTGACACGTTCTAGACATTCAGGTCCTCTTTCCGTGTGACAACTGAGCCCAACTCTGCATCACGAACAGGGACCCCAACTTTAGTTATCTAAGGTAGTCAAGCAAAATATTAATAACAAAACATACCAAGGGTGGCAGCTGAGAATCAGGAGAGAACGTTAGCAAGGGGGAAGGTGATGAAGCCACTCACCCTACGATCCATCCAGTACCCCGGGAAGCCTGCAAGCAGAGGAAGGGGTGGGAGTAACTCACAGTCCACTGCCTGAGCCTTGGCTTCCATCACAGGCAGGAAAATGCATCCAGCACTCTGCTTCTTGGTCTCTCCAGACTTACATTTTATCTGTTCTTTTAACAGCTAATAGATGCAGACCAATTTCAAGCTTATGACTATGGCTCTAAGGAAAACATGAAGAAATACAACCAGGTAAGGTAATACGGTTTCCCTGAGCATTCATCCTTGGGTCCTGGCAAAACTAAGAGCAGAAAAATGCAGATTTTTAGCACCTTGAGTGCTACAGAAAGAGGGAGAGAGTAGTCTGAGATAATGTTTCACCTGAACCCAATACTCATAAGTGTAAAAGTCTGTTCACAGACAAGGCACAGACAGTTCCTTGCAGACAGCTAGCAGAAGTTCATTTTGCCTCCCCTACTGATGCAGGGATGTGCCCAACGACATGTCAATTTACCTGCCATTCCCAAAAGGCTAAGAGCCACACCAGAGTCCTAGGACTGGATGAGTATGGAGCTCTTCACTTCCCAAAAAATTGTCAAAAGCTGCCTTTCAGTTAAACAACACTGGCAAAAAAAAAAAAAAAAAAAAGTGGGACTGCATCTCTTACCTTGATTTTGGATTTTGGGAAGCTACTTACCATGAAAATAAAACAGAAGGGATGCTTCAGTACAGCACAGTAGAGATGAGTGCTGTTGTGAACTAATGTATCCTCTACAGAAAACAAGGAAACAGACAAAACTTGGTTACTAGCAGCTTTGGTTACTGCCTAGTCAACAATCAGAAATGCTGCGCTCCTCCTGCAACACTGATAACTTGCCTAACAATTTGTTTAGATTTTATCAGATCAGTTGACTTATAGTGAGCTTTTCTGCATCAGGGCAAGTTATTTTATGGGTGGTGTATTATTTTACAGGTGGAGAAAGATTTCTCAGTCATCTTCCATTCACACATGTGGTCTTTAAATACTTAAGTTTGAATTTTGGAATGGGTAGTGTTTTATTCCTAATACTTTGAATGGTCAGGAAACTGACAAAAAAATCAGTCAATGAGAAAAATAACAGAACCACCCTTAGATAATAGGGGTCAATTTAAAAGCATCTTCTGCATGGTCCCTTATCACCCCATAGACAAATAACCATCTTGCATTAAGCCATTTGGCTCAGGGCTCATAAGATCCCCATTCTACTCTTCCATATTTCTTTGATTTCTGCTCTGATGATAGGCAAGGCAAGGAGCCTCACTGGCTATTACTCAGTCAGTAGCAACACTGTGCCTGAGAGACAGTGTCAAGTAAAGACTGGAACAATGCAACTAACAGTCTTTCACGCCATGCCCCATAAAAGCATGAAGAGGACCCTACACAAGCCAAAAATGGACACACATGAACAACAGCTCTGCAGTCCTTGCCTGATAAACACAGACACTGCTCTTTCTATATCCCCACCCCTGAAGGCCACGAGCAGGCGTCAAACTGCAGGACAACTCTCAGCCATGCATTATAGAAAGACACAGGAATAGGATGGATCATTCCTTTTCATGGCAGGCAGGGAATGGGGTTGGGGAAATAGACACTAACATGGTGGCCCTGATCCTTACTGTTTTATTGTAGTGAGTGCAGAAGGGAAAGAAAGAGAGATGCTTGCACAGAATCCTTTTTGTAAACACAACTTCTGATACAACAGCATTCACTCAGGTCACCTCCCTTTTTTACAGTCTGCTCCTCCTGCGTACAACATAGAGAAGATAAGCACACCAATTGCTGTTTGGAGCGGTGGACGTGACAAATTTGCAGATCCAAAAGACATGGCAAAGCTACTTTCTCGGATTACTAATCTCGTTTACCATGAGCATTTTCCTGCTTGGGGACATCTTGATTTCATCTGGGGCCTTGATGCAACTGAGAAAATGTATCGGAAAATCATTGAACTAATAACAAAATACTTTTGAAACCACATGCAGAGTGTTGATTCACTCAGTAAAAACCTCCAAAATTTCTATTTGGCAATAAGGGTGATACCTGGGGAAGAGGTAAACACACAGACACACATAATTGATACGAGTATAGGTATATCTGCACTTGTTTCTTGCTTTCCTCATAGTTTGAGGTTTTCCATGATGTTACTGTGACTGCTGTCTTCCTGAGAAGTTTGAGGTGTATAGGATGAAAGCTGAAAATGTGAATATATTTGAGCACACACTTCAGGGATCACTTAATTTGGACAGCTTTTATTTCTACAAGACTGATTTTCCTAAGCCTAATCTCTGTTGTTCTCGTATATATTTTACGTACCCCACAGAGGCATTCCCGTGCCCAATTTGTGTCTTCCCATGAAGACCCAAAAGTGGGATTCACTCATTTCTCTGTTGAAGCACAACTGACCTTGGTTTAAATTAAATAATTTACCCACTTGACAGAGAACTTGGCTTTTTTTTCTTTTTCTGTCCTCACATTTACCTAGTGTCAACACAACCAAGAGATCTTCAGACACAAGAAAGTGAGCAGACAATAGATGACTTCCAAACATTAAGGAGTCCAACCTCAGAAAAATTCATAGAAGTGTTCTCCTGCCCTCCATGCCTGCACATCACCCAAAGGTTAGTTCATGCACTCTAAATGCCCCAACTTCAAAGACCATGGATGACAGCTGAGGAATGAGAAGATATAGACCCGTCAGGCAAGATGCACTCCAAGCAATACAGCTTCCACCCCATGAATTATTCTTGACACTGGCAATGAAGTTGTTGCAAGCACTCTGAGCTATCAGCTTTGACTTTTACGTAACTCTGTGTCTTGACCATTCTTTGTTCAAGCAATTTCTACAACATGGGAAAGCAATCAGCTGTTTTCCCTTTCCGGTCATTAGCAGAAAGAGATAGCATTTTCGTTATCCATGCAAGTGCCTCACCTCTACTCACCTACAAGTTGATCTGGTAGGTAAGAATGTCTGTCCCCAGGTTACACCCAAAGTGTTCATTATTACAGGCTCAGACAGGATGGCTTTTTTTCCCCGGGTGTTTCTGGGTGGGTCTCAAGCTGATATTGCCCAACCGAGACTCTTTGTACTTGGAAACAGCAACCAATAGAATAGTTACACTGAAAAGATATCTGTGTTCTACAACACAGGAAAAATACACTAGCTTCTCCATGCACCTAGTCTAGCAGCCATTAGCACTGCTCATCATGGCATCTGTCTTCTGAACTTATGACAGCTTACAGGAAATGGCCAAAACTGTCAACAAAAATAAAGATCCATTAGACCAAGAAAGCAAGACACAGCAGCATTTGAAAGGAGATTCCCCTTTATTGCTGCATTATTAAATCACAAAGCACCAGGCCACATTAATACATTGCTTACCACTGCAGGTTGTCTTCTGCCTTCACCTATGCAAGAGAAGACTCATGAATTTATTATTTCGGTATATGCATCCACTGCTGCATGCACCACTCTGAAAAGCGTGCTATCCTGTCCAGTCCTGTGGGAAGGATACATCTGGTTCCCATCAACAGCATTTCATCTATTGATTTCTTTTTCTTTAGTAAACTGATTATTTTGGAAAGGTAGTCAAGAGACTTGTTTCTTTACCATGCCAAACGTATTTTGAGTATTACTGCTTAATGCATTAAAGTGATCCGGGAATTGGCTTTCTTTGTGGTCTCCAGCAACTCATTCAATCTCTTTGCTGTTTCTTATATTAAAAAAAAAAAAAGAGAAGATAATCCTTCCCTTGTAGAAACATAGTGAGAATTAAGGATGTGTGAAACTTGTAGCAGGGATGGAAGAAAGAAGTGCTAAGCTGAGAGATCTGTTTTCCCAGTCACTCCCATTGCAGGAAGAGAAATACAAAGAGGGAGGATACCAGACTTTGTATAAACTGCTGTGGCATATTGTTCAGTTGTCAAGTGTATCCCCTACGGAACAAGTAACACACACTCTAAAGGATATTCTATTTTTGCATTGGCTGCCAACCATCATGTGCAATGTTTAGACTTCCAGAAATATAGCTGGCTTTCAAAATCCACAGTCTGTGCAAGTCAAGTAATAAAACTGGGGAAGCAGATGGGAAGGGCAATATTTTGAACACTATTGTAATCATTCGCAGCTTAGTAAAATCAAATTAACTCCCTTCAACCCACGTGGCCTTGGGTGTACTGACAAGTCTCACACAAAATAGTCAAAGTCTGCAGCAAGCAATGGGTGGATTTGGACCAAGTCTTTATCAAGTAACAGCCCTCAACTTTCTGCAGGACTACTGCTGCTGTGCAAGATGGATTGCCAGATGAAGTAATTTTCTGCATGTTCAAGAGCCCTTGATGACTAGGAAGTTTTCCTTAGCATGTTTTCAATGTTGTGGAACCGCAATCTTCTTGCTATATCTAAGGGTGTCTCCCCATCCTGAAAGAAACAGATGAAATACATTGCAATTGATAGATATGGGTCAAGTACAAAGAGCTTTCCTGAATTTGCCACCCAGTTGCAGTGCCCTCCTGCGTAAGTTTCACTGTCACATCCTTGCTCTAAAACAAAGGTTTCAGAACATGCTGAAGCCAGGACCAGAGTCCTTCCCTCCAGTAGTGACAGCCATTCCCCTGTTCCCTGGGGCTAATGTCTAAAGTCAGCGCAGAGCTAAGCTAAGAGCTAATTTCAAGAGCGACATGGGCGATGATACATTGCTCACCTCAACTCACTAATGCAGATACTCCCAGGTCAATGTTTATTTGGACAACATTCGAGCTTTTCTGGTGACAGAAGCAACTGTAGGGACGTAGCCCCTCTCTGAAGAATGGTGTCCAGTGGCACAAAAAGCACCTAGGAAGGCTCTTACTACTCCCCTGCAGCCTGCATCTTAGGAACAACTGTAGAGCAGCTCTGAGTTAAGAAGAAGTACCATAAAGATAGATGAGATCTGCCAATTCGGTGGACATGCAGGCAGTGTTTACTGGTAGAAATCCAGCAGTGAAGGATTTGGACTTTAAAGGTGCTCTTGCCAACAAAGGCAATAGACGAAACATTGCTTTATACCACACAGCAAATAAGTCTGCTGCCAGGAAGATGTGCGCCCTTTTTTGAAACTGCTGCACACTAGCTAAGGCCTACAACTGGTTTACCATCGTGATAAGGAAATACAGTTATCAACTTAACCTTCTTACCTGATTCTTTACAGAAGTGTCTGCATGAGCTTCAAGCAGTAGAGGAATAACTGCCTGGTTTTTCATTTCACAGGCGTAGTGAAGGGCTGTGCTACCAGACTGAACAGAAACAGAAGCAGATGAATTTTAGTTCTATTACTTCTTTAGTAGACCTTAGGCAAGTACGACTACCTGTAGCCTTATCAGTTTCCCCCTAACAGCTGGATGCAAAAGACTCATATCATTTCATGTCACAATACACTAGACAGTAAAAGAAATACATTCTCATAAGAGCAACAGGAACAAAAAAATCATTCCTCCCCCAGGATGCAGCTGCTATAACAAGTCTATTACTTTCATCAGGAAGCCAATAATTCTTTACTGTCTTCAGAAGATTCCATGATCTTAATCTCAACAAGTATGCCTTAGGCAATACTGTTTGCTCACACTTCAGTGTTGCAGAATTTGGTGCTGCTAAAACTGAGGGTTCTCCTTTTCTGCTTTAGAGGAGAGGAGCTCTTTACGACACCCAAGTAGGCTAGTGGTTACAGAACTCTACACACGGCAGATCAGCGCACTCTGAAGATCAAGAGAAGACACAGGGTCTAGCGCTGTGGCACAACCTTTGCCCACAAATCTGCTCCAGTCCAAGAACTCATAAATGGTGATAAACTCAGACCCTTATATCACTAGAATCTTTATAGGATCAGGTGTTTAATACATAAGTATCTCAACCAAGCTTGCCTGGATTCTCTTAAGAGGGCATTGGCCAGAAAGGGAGAATTATTTGATGAGTGGAGAATTATTTCTGTGTACATTACAAAACTATTGCTTAAGCGTCAAGGGGAAACACTAAATCCTCCTGCTACATGACAGAGCCCCTGATCCTACGCTGAAAGCAGGACTATGTTGCTAGAAGATTCTGAAGTCTGTTTTTAATAATGTTGCATGCATACAAACCACATTTGCATTTGTACAAATCCGCTTACAAAGTCTGTAGCATCAACATCCACTCCAGCTCTAAGCAACATCTTGATCAGGTTTTCATTCTGTTTAGTCTTTGAGACCTGTTTGCTGCA